TCCTCGGGCGTCTTACAGTACTTCAGCTCCTTATTCATAACACCATGAGTCAGCTTGGGAGCCAAGTGTTTGAAGTCTTCAGTTGTGGTAATCCTTCCCACTTTGCAGTCGGGTTTCCTGTAAGGGTTCAGGCACTGGACGATGAACTGGGACATCTCTTTCCTAAATACTTCTTTGCTTTTTTTTGCCAGTTCACTGGAGGTGTCTGCTTCTGCTGTCTTGGGCTTTTTTGAAGTCTTCATGGGGTTTTCATCATAGGTTGGGGTTCCTAGGTCCATCTCAGCTTCATGCTCAAGGCTGGCATCATCTCCTGGACTTTCCCAAGTAGGAGGATCCCACTGAGTCTGCCTTGTGATGACATGGTAGTAGTAAATCTTCCCTTCTGGATCTCGAGCTGTCTTCCAGTTGGGAGGTAAGACAATGGTTTTTGGCTTGGGAGGAGAGGGAGGTGGCAGATCCAGGAGATTATTTGTCACAACCATTTCAGGTGGTTGTAGGCCAAGTTGACTTTTTAATATTAATTTATTTATAAAATTTGAATGCATTGTTTTTGAGATTAGATTCTTCAAATTTTCCTGAACACCCCCCAAATTATACAATTCCATTATTAAATCCCCCCCAGCACATCCTCATCCCTCTGTTTCCACCCTCCCCTACCTCCTCTTGGATCCTTATACTCATTCTACAATAATAGTTTTATACAATATTTGTCCTTTGGGACTACCGTTTTTGAAGGCAGTTTGCCATTTCCTCAAAAAGCTGACGATAGAAATTCCATATGACGCAGATACTCCACCACTTGGAATATACCCTGAGAAAATAAAAATGAGACACAAATGAAGACTTATACATCAATATCCATAGCAGTGTTATTCACCATTACAAGAACATGGAAACAGCTCCAATGTCCAACCACAAATGAATGGATTGAGAAATTACTGTATACGCAACAGGAGCAACGATTTTGTAAATAATTAGTTAACTTGGGAGGGACTGGAGAGCATTATGCTGAGTGAACTGAGGCTTTTTAGTTGTGGTGCTGGAGAAGAGTATTGAACATAACATGGACTGCTAAGAGAATAAACAGATATGTCCTGGAAAGAGTGAAACCAGGATGGTCCTTGGAGATAAGATTTTTGAAGGTCTGTCTCCCGTACTTTTAGGGTCTGTTGACGGGAGGCACTAGTACTTTGAGAAATACATCATGCTTGGAAAGGTGGAGGGTCAGCACAGGAGAGGAAAATTCTGGATGAGATGGATTAACACAGCTACTATGGCAATGGGATCCGGTGTGTCAGAGAGAGTGAAGTTTGCTCAGGGTAAGGCAAATTGCAGAGCCATTGTCCATAAGGTTGCTAAGGATCATGGTTGATTTAACAACACATAACAACAACAAACTTTTCTTTTCATTCACTATTTTTAGACAAGATCCACCTGACATTAGCAATGATTTGTCCCCTTTCATGGTTTTTTCCATGAATCTAGTTTGAATTATTATAGTTCCCTGTGTACGTACTACTTTCCAATGATTTCTACATAATCTTCAGCAAGAGTTTAAAGAGTTTATTGAACAGTATTAATGTTATTGCTCAAGAATTTATTCATTATAGCCACATTCGTGTTCAGTCTAAATAAACCAACCTAATGTAAATTATCAAAAAATATTATCAAGCTTTCATAAATATGGACTTATTTGTTAACCACAAATAATTTCTCTGATTATGACTGAGACAGTCATCAACATTCCAAAAATATCATAGATATGTGAACATAAAAACTTATTGAAAACCTGTCATATAAATATGAACTGAAGGAATGTTATAGTGATGATTTTGTACCTGAGTATAAAAAGAAATTCATGGAATAAAATATCTAGCAGTCCACTTTGTAATGAATCTAGCGCAAGAAACCCTCTGAGGGCAGTTGTACTTTGCCTTGTATGGTCATAATGCAACCATCTCCAGGGATTTTCAGAGATTGCGAATTGATCAGGAGGATATTTTCCATTTGTCTCCTGTGAGGTAACTTCTAGATTTGAATTGTAGGCCTCTGGATTAGCAGTGAAACGCCTTATCCACTAAGTTAACAGAGTTTCTTGTTCAGAATTTACTTAATATCACACAATAATATTAAACATAAAAAATGATATATTGGAACCATTAAGGTATTGTTGGAGTGCTATGCTTGAGGTAAAAAAAAAAAAATACTTCCAAGTTTTTACAATTCCTTTATTTTTTGTAGGGTTTTCAGAGGCTTGCTATTTCGGAAGTCCTTTTTCTTGCTAGTCCTTCTCCCTGTCTTAATCTAAGAGCTGCACTAACACCTATCTACCATGAGTGACCATTCTGGAATTTGAAATACCAGTAGCACAGCTTTCAGCATCCCAGAAACCCACAAAACCAGAAAACTGACAGACAAGTGCTGTACTAATTAGAACAATGGTAAACAAGCAAGAAAACAGATAGCTAGCCTACAAAGTAATGAGCATTATGCATATCAATTTTCCAGTACAACAACCTGACAGATATGTCTCATAGTCTTTTCATTCTCTTACAGTTGATCTGAGAGCTAGACAATGACTAAGGATTACAGAAGATTTATATCTTTGGATTGTGTTGTTAGGGAAGAGTACTTACTGACTATCCAATGGAATGTCAAAAGAACAAATAGATATATCTTGGAGAAGGTACAGACAGAGAGCCCTTTGGAGATGAAAATGATGAAGTTCAATTTCACGTGATTTGGGCATGTTGCTAAAGTAGGTTATTCTTTAGAGAGAAACATCATGTTTGGAAAGATGGAGGTACAGAAAAAGAGAAGACACTAAACAAGTTGGCTTAATATAATCATTGAAACCATGGGTTTGAGTGTGTCAAAGATTAGAAAAGTGGCACAAGATAGGACAGGATTTCTATTTGTTGTTCATAGGGTAGCCAATAGTTGCACTCAACAGGATGGCACCTAACTACAACATTACAGTGTCTAGTTGTTTAATATAAGAAGTTAGTAGGTTTCTAATTGAATGTTGGCATTTGGAACTCTTAGGAGGTACCAATTTGAAAACAAATATTTCTGCCTATGAAATACATAGAAATGAAACAACTTTATTTGCTATAAAAATTAATGACAACATTAAAACATTTACTTTAAAATCAATACTTTGACAATTTCTAGAGGAGAGTTATATTACTAGCTGTAGTTATTATGTGAAGCAAACTATATGCTCATCATTTATGTTCTTATTTGTCAAAACTTTATAAGGGACATTTATATAAAGGAATTCTTTCATTCTCACTCCTTATATTAAAATATTTTGTTTACTAAAATAATTTGTATAAAAGTTAAACAGGGGGAAAGAAGCCAGAGCCTGGTTGAATATTTGTCAGAGCATGTCTAAAAAGTTGGAGTCCCTGAGTCACACAAACAGTTAAGCATTGGACTCATAACTGATAGCTGTTTGAACCAATAAGAAGTATCTTGGAATGCAGGCCTATTAATCTGCTTCTGAAAGACCACAGCCTTGGAAAGAGGATTGTGCAGCTTTATTTTACATATATAGGATGTCCATGAGATAAAACCAACTCTATAGCAATTAATAGTACTAAATCTAGCAAATGAAGCTTAACATAATTGTTGTTGTTTTGTACTGTCACATTAGAACTGATCTATAGCTGGCCTACCAGTGAGTTTTCAGAGATAGTAAATTGCATGGGAAGAGATTGTGCATTCTTTCATGATGGGCATTAGGGTGTAAATGTCAGTAGATTAATCTGAAACAACTAGGAAATGGGGGGGTGAAGGAAATTCAGCAATATTTAAATAAAAATATACTAAGGTATTTTTTTTAAATCATGGTCTATTTCAAGTCTATTAAGGATTATAGAGGAAATGTACAACTAATTTTATCAGGTAGTCTTCATTTTAGTACAAAAAGCTCTGCTAAAACTCTAAGTAGTGGTAAGAAATTTGGAGATATTATTCAATATATTCTGTTTGGTACACAAGAAAATTTACACAATGCCCTGGTGAATTCTGAATAACCAAATCAAAACCTATACTTATTGCTGTCAATTCTGGCTGACAGTGGTATCCCATTGGATTTCAAGTTTATAAATATTTTGGAAGAAGGTAACTATATTTCTTCAGCAGAGGGCTAGTAGAGTGAAACAACCAATCAATTGACAGTTCAACATGTCAACCTTTAGGTTACCAGGGTGCAATAAATCTATATAGGAAACAAAAAAAAGATATATACATATACTATCATTATTATTTCATTGTCATTTTCATTAGAAAAGAAACTTCCTCTTATCTATCCTTCCTTGATTTCCAGGCAAGGTAGACTGTAGACTATGACACTGTAAATTTACACATTTTGACTTCAAAAATATCCTCTATCTAGAGAAATATTTTCTCACAAGAGATTTATAATTTTAAAAAGATCATATCCTAAGCTAATTAATAATCTTATCCTCCCATAGCTCTTCTGGTACAAAGAGCTGGAGTCAGAAAAATCAGAAGTGCTGAACTCACTTGACATTTCTCAAGCTGAAAGAATGGATGCTTTGGGCAGAACATAAATTGATTTAGAAAGCATTGCAAGAATATGGAAGGATATCTCAAAAAATAGAATAAAATATATTTTAAAAGAAGAATATGGAAGGAATATATAGAGTCATTGTACCAAAAGTACTTGGTGGACACAAAAGAATTTCATGAAACAACATATGAGTAAGAGCCTGTGGTGATGAAGGAAGAAGTTCAAGCTGCTCTGAAAGTATTGACAAAAAAAGCAAGACCCACCAATTGACATATTTTAACAGGCATTTCCCTGGAGGACAACCACCTGGCCAACTGACTGGAAGAGATCCATGTTTGTTCCTGTTCCAAAGAAAGGTGACCCAACAGAATGTGTAAATTATTAAACAATGTCATTATATCACATTCATGCAAGATTCTGCTAACAATTATCCAAGAATGACTAGAACAGCATATCAACAAAGAACTGCCAGATGTGCAGACTGGGTTTAGAAGAGGTCATGGTACTAGATGGATCTTGGCTGAAAGCAGAGAATATCACAGGAATGTCTATTGATGTTACATTATGTATGCAAAGGCACTTGACTATGGAGAACAAAACAAACTATGCCTAACTCTGAGAAGAATGAGAATCCCAGAACACTTGATTGTGCTTAAGTGAAACCTATACTTGGAACAGAGACAGTCATTAGAACAGAGCAAGGAAACGCTGCATGGTTCAACATTGGGAAAGGTGTATGCCAGACATATGTCCTATCTTCATACCTTTTCAATCTATATGCAGAACAGATCATCCAGGAGGGCTGGGCTCTATGAGGAGGAATGTGGCATCAGGATTAATGGAAGACTCATCAACTACCTTTGTTATGCAGATGACACAACTTTATTAAAATGTAGGAGGACCTGGAGCACTCACTGCAGAAGGTCAAGAACTGCAGCTTTC